TGTACTTGCTGCTTTGCCTAACAATTGTCGCATAGTTGGCAAGGAGCATAAATTTTATATAGTTAATCCAATAATTCTCTATCTCTTTTTCTGGAGATAACTATCTCTTACTTTGCTTATATGCGATGAAATGACCAATTATGGGGTCCTTGTCTGGCTCTACTTCTCTTGAAGCAAGTCAGTTCAAGAATTTTGTCAATGGTATTGAGGAGGACCAGCCTTTGTTTTTCGTGATATGGACCATTTTTCCCTCCTTTCTTCATCTCTTCCTTAAATATGTTTTATTCTTATGATGTTAACAATTGCATTACAAGTCAGATTGGTAACTTTTCCAACTCAGAACTAGAGCAATATTTGGCGGAGTTTGTGAACGGTATATTTAGCTTAATCTGATCAGCATATTAAATGCTTTATTGCCTTCTGTATAGTACTTAGAATAGGCTAATTAACCATGACATAGAACTTCTGTATCCGTTATTGCCCAGCCCTATGTTAGGCTGTTGCATTTACTTCAAGGCCGAGCTAATCTTGAAAGTTTTGTGAATTAAGGGTTACTTGTGAAGTGTACCAATCTTTCGTTCTTGTTCCTCTCGCAAGCAATCATATATTTGTATTGGATTGATACCATTACAAATTTACGCATACAATTAACTTAATCCATGTTAGTTAATGTAGCTAACTTCTCCTGATCATGTCAGAAACATTCGGTGCCAATGGTTTTTGAGCTATTTTTTCCCTGGATATTGAAATGAATAAAGTATGGAAGTGATAATAACTAAAGAGTAACCTATTCATTTTTTAATTTGTTAAAGTTATTAACATATGAATTGTGTTAGAGAGATACACCTCGAGAGAACTCATCAAAAAATCCAATATATAAGAGATATGAGTCAGAAACCCAATTTTGATTCAAAAGTTGAAGTTATTAGGTTCAAACTCTTACTTGCATATCTAAACTTTCTCCATCTCTCGAATCAATGTGGTACTCATAAACCCAATATTCTTTTCGTTTATGAGTAACCCTTCACATTGAATCCAAGTTTACAAACTTTTCTCTAAACCCACTTTAATGCTCAATACAAGCGCACCTTAACACCTAAAGTCATCTCTTCTTGCAATTATGGACTCACTCTTCTTTAACATCCAAATTGGATTACAGACCCCCCAACAACCCATGACTCTTTGGTCTAACACCAATAAGACTCCCTGCCAAAACCATGACGTACCTAATCCAACACCAGCCAAATTCTTTGGTACTTTGGTCCACCACTAAAAAGAGAATTTTTACTAGTCCAATTTACTATGAGTAGTCCAGACTCATAATTAGAAGGTCTGATACCATTTATTGGGATCCAAGCATGAATCAATGGACTATTGAGATATCAAATATACAACAATTTAATGGCATGCAAGTCACAATTATGAAAGATAAATGATACATAAGATTTAATATGGTTCAGCTCTATCATGGATCCTACGCCCACGGAAAGAAAATCAATTCATCACTATGAGAGGAAATCCTAAATAAGAATACAACTTGAATCCAATCCCAACCCTTATATACCATCTCTCATCTTTCAAGAATCCTCTCTCACCCTATGTATAAGATTGCATGTTGCCCTTACGTGCCACTTTGTAGTATGCCAAACCCCACCTATTTATAAGCTACATTACTTGGCTAGCACTCAAATAATAATAGGAAATAATTGCTAATTCCTAATCTTATATAGAACAGAAAATAATTTCAAATTCCTAAATTTATAAAAATAGGAAATTTCTTGGCTAATACTTTAAGTAACTAAAACCAAATAGGAAGCTAAAACCAAAACAAGAAACCTGTCTGAAAGAAATTAACCCAATTTCCTAACAAGTTGATGTGAACTTTTTATCGTCCTTAAATTTAACATGCTTATTACAATTGAATGTTATGTTAATGTAGCCTAAAACTCTTAGAAAATTATTCAACATTTTTTATTGAATTGGCGCTTGGAAGGCTGTGAATTTATATCCGCTGGGAGAAAACTCTTTGTGTTATAAAATGGATCTGATGTTCATCAGAGTATAGAAACTTCGGAAAGATTTTTTTTTTTATTTATCTGTACTTTTTTCTTTTCTTAGTATGTGAAAGATCTTTTCTTTTAAAAGCCGATTATCATTTCATTTTGCGTACTCAATCTTTCATAAGACCTCATATATACAATTAACAACAATTTTTGTTCGTCTGTATAGTGGACAATCGTGATAAAGTAACTAATGATTTTCCTTTGCTTGATGGATTAGACATTTGAAATTCAGTTCTACTGCAAACTCGTGGGCAAATATGCAACTTTCTAAGATTGCAGGAACCATTAGCATCCGTTTCTTTCAAGTTTATTTCACAAATTTGCTCAAGGTTCTTCGTCTTTTGAGGAGATGTGGCATTCAGATCTAGTTGAATTTTAACTTATTATGGTTTAACCTATTCTTGATGACACCTGTTTCTTGCATGGGAGGAGATTTATTTATCAATTTAAGAGTAGGCACTCGCCTCCTTCCGAGCTAGTTTCTCCATTTGACACTTTGCAAAACTTGTGTCTTTCTGAATATTGACATTAGTTAAACAGTTTGTTCCTTTTGCTATTGACTTATGTAACGAGAAATTGTAAAAAATTTTGCGTTTAGGAAGCGAATAAAGTTTTTCATAAGACAAATATTATTTAAACAAATTGTCTGGGAATTCTTTCATAATAATGGTGTTGTTCTTCAAGCGTTCACTCTTAGTAGTCCCAATTATGATCGATAGGACCATTTAAAAGTGAGGAAGCATTATTCAGATGTTGCGGCCATTTCTTTCATTTGTTACATAAAATGTTTGGAATAAAATGTGAGCAAATTCTGGTGTGGTGGTTGTTTCGTGCTTTCACTAAAATTGAAAAGCAAAGGCATGTATTGTGCTCAAGAGTAGCATTTGTAGTAGTCCCCAAGGAAGACTTGAAACTAACAATTATGTATGGTTACGTGCTTTGCAGTTTCTAATTGTGACTTGGATGTTGGGACTTGTGTGATGAGGATTGCTGATGTTGTAGGTGAAAAATGGAACATTTATTATGACCTTCTACTGGACTCAAGGCTTTTCCACTCTGAAGTAGAATGAAATGATTTTGTCCTAAATACTACTTTCGGTTTCTATACCTTTGCCTCCATGTCTCGTCTAATTTGAAGCAACACGAAATGCAGCTTAACGCTTGTACACTTTCGAACAGGGGTGTCAACTTGTCGGGTTTGAGCCCAGAATCGACCTGGATCTGATAAATTTTTTCTGATTTCGATTGAAAAATTATTCCGATGCTCAAACCCGAATCGCGACCCGTTTACTATAACAAAAAATGGATAGGATACGGAATATAAGATTCCGATCCGTATCCGATTTGAACCGGAGCAATATATTAATAATTATAAAATATAAATATTTCTAAATACATTTTCTTTATCAAATTAACAATTTAATAATGACTTTGTAGATTAATTTGTAATTAGTTTTGGATTGACTATTGCGAGTTATTTGTGATGTTAAGCTTCCCCGTTTGGCCTTCCCTTCGGTTACTACCGGGTTCAACTTGTATGATTTGTGCAATGATTTATTGTAACTGATTTAAACACAATCCTATCCGTGACATAATCTGTAGCAATTACGTAATTCAACTTGTAGTATGATTTGTGCAATGATTCTACATGAAACCGATTTAAACACAATACTCTTATAGGTTTCTGAAAATTTGTGGCATAATCGATAGTAATTATGTAATTTACTAGATTGCATTTTTTCATAAGTGAGAGCATTTGAACCAAAAACCTCTTGCAACGTCTCCCATCTCACCGCCCAATATAACCTTCCCCTATGTAATTTACATGATTTTACATGAAACTGATTTAAACACAATGCTCTTATAAGTTTCTGAAAATTCATGGCATAATCGATAAACACAATGCTCTTATAGGTTTCCAAAAATTCGTAACATAATCGATAGCAATTATGTAATTTACTAGACTGCATTTTTTTCATGAGTGAGAGCACTTGAACTAAAAACCTCTTACTTACAGCGTTTCGCATCTTATCACCTAATCTAACCCTCGCCCTCGTAATTTACAAGATTGCATTATTATTTTAATGTTTTATTTTTACTTTTTTTTTTATTTATCTATTCTTTTGCTCATTACTGTGTACAACACTTGAACATATCATTTACTTAAAGACTCAAGCGTTCCTGCAAAACAATTTCATATCTTTCCACTAATACAAGGGTTCTGAATCCCATTAACAACAACCCAAATAAACAAGGAGAAAAGGAAAAAACAAGAAACCTCAACTATTTCTCTAGCTTGGCTTCCATGGCTGATCCATATTGAAGGGAGCAATGCTGAGAAGAAGAGATGGCAAGACAAGTGGTAGAAACAATTGGGCTTGGTTGGTGGTTGGTGGCCGTGATAATGGAGTATGAGAATTGAGAAACACCAGTAGAGAGAGAGAATGGTTAGAGAATATCTGTTCCTACTTTGTTTGGTCTGGTCATTAATGAGAAGCAAAATTGCCCAAATTACTCAGGAATGATGATTGAAGTATTTTGGGTCTTCCATTACCATAGATTCATTGTCATGGTAGAGTACCAAACACTTGAAGGCCATACCCATTGAATACCCCCAAAAACCCTCCAACCAACGGGTGGTAAGTTCATTCAGCGGGTCAAGGCACACACACTCCCATAAATTCTCTCAATTGGTTAGGCATGACTCTATCCTAAGATATTCACAACACTGCCTAATTATTCTTTTACATTACAATACTTGGATCCAGAAGAATTATTAGAAGTGCATTAGAAAAGTTTGGGGTCACCTAAAATTGTCATGAAAATAAGGACGCAGTCCATTAGATTCACCTGACAACCAATACCAATAGGCAAAAGACAAACTGAAGGTAAATGAATGAATAGTAATTAGAGCTAGAGATAGATAAAATCCTGGAATAAAAGAAGCAAGATTACACAACCAAAAGTTCCAAAACCCAACTCAGCTCAAAAACAACAATAGCTAATAAATACCTTATCATAATGCGAAATTAAAGAAGAAAATTGTATCAATAACTGAACTTTCAGAAACTTCTGTCCTGTCAGGTGACCTACTAAGGTTCATAGCGAGAATTACCCCTAGTTTTACATAAATACTGGGAACCAAATCTTAGTAGCAAACTAGAGTCTTGCATAAAAACTTCATAATATCCTCCATTTCCTCTCCAATTCGTAGCATATACGTCTCACACAGACACCCGCACTCAAGGGAAGTGCAGAAACTACAAGTACAAAATCCAGATATGATATTAACATATAAAGAAAACGAAGAAAAAAGGCCAATTCATATGCAAAGCCATTTTACTCACAGGAAATGTGAATTTTCAAGCATGTAGACTCAAATAAAAACAGTACCTGATATAAGATCATCTGTGTAGTCATCATTAATTTTCCCATGAGCCATGGCACCAATCTGTTGGGAAGTTTTCAAAATTTTAGGAGTGGTCTACCAGAAAAAATGATAGTAAATCTAATTAAGACACAACTAATCCAAGGAGACCTAACCACGAATACAGGAGTGCAATCATTGCCTACATCATCAACATAGTCGCGCAACCTTACAGCCTTTGGCGAACTAACAGAGAGCCCTGAAGCCAAAAAAGTTTATCCATTGTCAAATAAACAAAAGAAAGATGCATTTTCCATGAAATGAACAAATCAACAGATTACCTATTATTCGAGAATTAACAGGCAAATGCTTGACCAAAGGGTTCTCAATCAACTGCATTAGTTTCTCACCCCCACCCCTAGCTTTGATACTAAACTTCTGCAATAACTGGGCTGCATCTTTTAATAAAGTGATACGGGGAACACAAACGAGCAGAATGAGAGTAGGTAGACGGAAAGAGCACATATAATAAACATAAAACAACACAGAAGACTCACACATCATAGCACAAAATTTGCCCAACGTCGGCGGTATGCGAACATGTGGCTTGATTTTGATAAGATGCCCAAGATCAGTTTTAACAAACACAGCCTGAACCATACCAGCCATATTAAGTCGGCTGCCCAATATATCAACGAGAATCTGGAGATAAAAGATGTAGCAAAATAGATGGTCAATGTGAGTAAAATTTTGAATTAAAAAAAAATGGGCTCAAGCAATAACAATAGACGAATAAATAGCACTTTATTGCCACAATGGGATCATTAGTTGATAGAACATTATACATCCTTTGCACATGGTCATATGGAATACAAGCGTTCACAGGTAGAAGAAGAAACAAGGAAAACATTCCATGCAGATAAATTAGAACATCCAGATACAAAATCAATAGATTTTACTATTCTATGCCTTGACATATAAACCAGGCTGCCATACTTCACGCTTTTTTTCCTTTTATTTTTGTATTTTGATTTTCGGCCCTATGGAGGGCTGAAGACCCAAAGCTATTCACAAAGATGTTGCTCTCGGCATATAGACCCCTCTGAATTCTGCTCAAGAAGGCTCCTTGATTTAAATGCTATATTGAAAAGATAAGAATCGTCCACAATGTAAATTATTAATGGAGAATGGGAAAACATGAAAGCAGCAGAAAAGTAACTAAATACCAAATACTACTCCTTCAGATGGATGTTCATTTATACAACAATAAACAAATGGAAAGGCCTACAAAACACAAGGTGACAGATGCATTTCTAATGCATTTAAGTCAGAGAAAAGCAGGAATCTCTTCACTTCTAAAGTGACCGACAAACGAGAGGCCATAAGTGGATGAATGCATACTTAACGCTGTTGGATATTCACACCCCATGCTTTTCTCTTTACCTACTACTGCATATAGGTAGAGGCACCCAAAAAAAACACACGCGCGCACACACACGATTCTAATTCATTTTTAAGCTTTGGATTTTGTCAATACTATGAAACTTGGATACAGATAACCCAATGGAAACCCTATAGATTACACAAAATAACTTAGTACCAAACCAGAGTGAATGTGAGAGAGAGGGGAAGAGAGAGAGAGAGCTTTGTCAAAGTCAAGTGTAATCAAGTAGACCTGTCTAAATGCTTTTCCTTCTTATCTTTATCTCCAAAGTCCTAGTCAACTAAGTCAATTACCCTTTCTATTAATCCTTACCCTCGGACCCTCTTCTCCAATCTAAGGGTATCAACATTCAAAATACATGATAAATTCCAGGGAAAAATGAACTCATAGTAATTTAATATTCTTTCTTTCACGTCATTAGGAGGAAAGATTTCAGGAAAGCCACATGGAAAGGTGTGTAATAATCATGGAAAACCATAGAATTTGTAATCATGTTTAAATAGATTTCAAATTCACATGCTTAAGAGATTTTATGATGCTGGAATTTTCAAAACCTGGAAACTTCATAGAAAATGGCAATGCAAATTAAAGAACCTCAGAAACTTACATGTCCCATTGGTATTGCGAAAGCAACATACAAAAGTAAAAGAACATCTCCTGAATTAAGAAGTAAAATGGTAATAAATGATTTATACAGAGAAACAGCTAACTTATTTGGTTCTCCTTTGCCTGCCTGCTCCATTACTTAAATAAACACTAGGTAATGCCTCTATACCATATTACCATGACACCAAGATTTAGACTACATCTAAATGAGAAGCTGCCAGGGCTTGAAAACTAAGTAATGATAAAGGATCATCCTTAACAAGAAATAAATAGGAAGCTATGACTCGGAACGAGGGTTTAGCACAGTAACTCTCATAAAAAAAAAATCTTTACTGAAATTTTAGTCGGCAAAATACCAAAAACTACAATATTAATTAAATAAGCAAGGCCCTGAGATTTATGCATGGAACTTAGTCATTTCTAAGTTCCTAAAGTAAAAAATAGAACATGGATGACAGACATAAAGAAATATGCACACCCACCACGCACGCTCACAAATACACACACACATATATATAATGTATGTACATTTATATGTATATGTATGGAGAGAGAGAGAGAGAGAGTAAATATACAATTGTCACTCTGGGCGTATATGCAAACATATTATACAAACTTGTTTATATGCCTCTCTCTATGTATACCAAGATAGATGATTATGACATTTATACCACTTACAACTTTAAATAGAAATTATATGTACCTCTAAATCTGCCAAGACTGATCAGTCATAAGCAGAGTATGTCAAGAATAAAGGACTAATAATTTTTTAGTTACCTTGAATGCTTCTGAAGAAAAACAACAAACAAAATTTGGGATAAAGATTTCGTACACATCTTCTACTTTGGATGTTGAACCTCAAACTGATTTCAACTCGCAAGTACAATCTAAATGCAGGAAAAACATTGAATATCGCTTGCAGAAAAAGAAATAAAAATGAACCATCTAGAGGGTGTTAGCCTACCCTAAACTTGGTAGAAAAAGGACCAAAAACAACTGAAGTTTACCAAACAAGATCATTGATTTTCCATATGCAGTGGTTTAATTTACAACAACGGTTAATTACAAATTGATTGTCACAATATTAAAAGGAAAACCTCGCCAACTTGACCAAGAAACTAAAGCCAAAGAAAGACGATCCATCAGAGGAATGGGAAACACTAGGTTTCTGAGGTCACATTTGACTGTATAATTACGGATCACACATTAGATTCCCTAGATGCAACTTCAAGTTAATTAACTTGTATCTAATTTATCCCTCAATGAAACCAGCCTATAACACAAATAATTCTCTCAGCCCTCAATTGCACAACTCACAATCTTCAGAAAGAAAACATACAGGTGTATGTCTAGCACATGAACATTGTAAAATGTGAAAGCAAAGAGCATATCAATATCATTTTAGTCTAAACTGACGCATCAGAGTTCACAAAAATCTCATAAAAAAACCCCAGAAAAAATCATGAGTGGATTGATAACAGAAACAAAGGAATTTCCTTGAGATATTCACAGTATCATCTTCAGGTAATGCGTGAAAAGCCATAAAACTACTTTAAACACTCTGCAAGTAATATCTTCAAGGTAAATTTCCAAATTCAACAACTCTGTCTAGATCATAGCATTCATCAAGTAGTGCTTTCATGAAGATTACCTCATGGACAATATCAGGTCTGTAATCATAAGGATTCATGTTCTTCTTCCTTAAAAAATCAGCATGCTTGTCGGGATTCAATATCTCATATGTCTGCGGGAAAATAAAAAGAGACAGCAGCTTGAAATTTAATAATGCATCAAGTGTTGAGCCTAATTCTGTAACATCCTTTGAACAAACTGAAGAAAACAAAAACAACATAAATATTTAGAGAATGAAAAAGTTAAAGAGTAGTATCCTCATGTACCCTGCCAACATAAGCAGGCACAAGTGAAGCTTTTTCAAGAACAAACACTACACCAGATTTTGGATGGTTGCTCGAAGGCACTGGTGGAATTCCCGGAAGTATATCCTCAGAGTCACCAGCTTTTGCCTCCTCTTTTCTGGCTTTTGCCATGTCTTTCTTCCTCTCCTCATCTTTGCTGACAGCATGTTCATGTTCTTTCTCTCGTTCATGCTCTTCTCTAGAATGACTTAGAAGCTTCTTCACTGAACAAGGACGCAATATGCTTTTCCTCTGTCTTCTTTTTACCCTAATTTAAAAAATAATAAACGTCAAAATGGGAAACTGGCACATGGCAGAGTACAATGGGATAAATGATATGATCCAGAGCCCTCCCCCCCCCCCCAACTCTAGTCCACGAAGATCTCACATACGAAAGTTATTCAAAGTTTCAAGTTGTGCCGTTCATTTGGTCTTGTTGAGCAAGGGCTTATTTGTCATTTTAGTTGCTGTTTAGTTATTTTATTCTTGTTAATAAATTCAGCCAAACAGCCCTTCTAGTTGGCCGAATATTAGATAGCCCATTTTAGTTATTTCGGCCCAAAGGGATCCTAGTCTAGCCGAGTTTGCTTAGGTATTTTTTAGTTCAAGTGATTCCAATTCACTTAAGGTCTAGTTTAAGTGAATCCAATTCACTTTAGGTCTTCTAGTTTTGTATGGCTATATATAGCCCAAGTAAGAGACCTTCAAAATCGGTTTTTGATCAATAAAATTTCGTGAGTTAATCACTTTTTTTTTTCCAAGAGAGCTCCTTTGAATATTTGAGAATCTTTCTGAAGTTATTCATACTGAACTTATCAACCAACTATCTCCTTGGTTGTGGCGTTCTACTACGTATAATTTGATTCGCTAATTCGTTAAGTCGCGGGTTGAGATTGTATCAATATTGTTCGCTACTTAGAGGGTTAGATTGGGTCACATTCTCCGCTGTTGGTGTCATTGTCTAGATCGTGCCCAACTATGTATCACATCAATAATACAAAACAACAGGAAAACATGCAAAACAGAATAAGGCACAAAAAGAATAGCATGCTAAAACAGTCAAGATCTGCTATTAAGATAACTGAATACACTCTTCTCAACTAATCAGAAATGCAGCCAAAGACCTCTGGTCATAGCCATTTTAACTTATCATTCTTCCAGGTTTCAGTTCTAGTGGATAACCATTACCATTCCAAAATTAAATTCAAAGAAAACCAGATAAATTAAATTGTGAGCATGTACACCTGATGCTGAAGAAGGCTTGGGATATTGTAGTTCAACAAGCTACAACTAAGTCCTTGATCATTGTAAAGAAGGCTTAAGAAAGAAATTCCACTGCCTTATCATTCCAAGTAGGTATTATCTCCAGCATGCACATACTAGATAAAACAGACATGTATTAAGTTTCTCAGTAGAGCCACAAAACCATCTCTAAACCACATCTATACAAACTGCACAACAAAATATGACAACCTAGCAATGTTTGCCTATGTCACAAAACATACAAAGTGGTCTTGCATTTATCAAAAACTTAATAAAACAATCCCAACTTGAAATTCAAGGAAAACTCTGTTAACAGTATAGATATAAAAAATGAAAAGTCATAGAGCAAAACTCCAACAGCAACATAAGCAATATTTATTAGCACTGAAAAAGATACTGTAAAAATAACTAAAATCATGTCAAGAAATGGTAGGAACAAATCTACTTATTCCAATACAACCAAATAATTTCACTCCCAAAAGAATAACAAATATTGGTGTCAAAAGAAGTACAAACAAAAAATGGTGAATGATGGTTTTTGGTGGTAGTGACATAAAAAAAAAAATTATCAATCTACTCCTTATCTTGGAAAATCTAGTCCATAAAGATTCCTCTGCTACTTGCAAAAATGACACTGAATTCAACTACAGATCAGAAAGAGGACAAAGCTCTCCAACAAATTTCAAGAGCCAATAGCCAGTTACCAAAGACTCCGCTGATTATAGATAAGTCGATAAGGAAAACATCGAGGCAATCCACGTGCAATAACCATCACCAGCTCTTTCAACTGCACAAGAGATGCAAAAAGTATAGTATCAACTCTCACGCGTCATTAGTAGCATGCAATGCCTCCCAAAGAATTAAAACTTCTCCATGTAATAGTTCAATATGCAGCTCCTACATTACATTCTTCCAAACTCTTATTTCAAGCAACATTGAGAACAACATTAGTAGATAGTTATACCAATTATCAGGCCAAAATTAACCAGTAACGTTTAGAGAAAGCACGTCCAGCATCTAAGGAAGCAAGTACAACACGAAGTACAGAATTCATCAATTTCATACGATGGCCATGGCCAGTTTAACGAACAAGGGGCAGCAGCAAATAATTGTTCAAAGGTATTGCAAGCTCAACCAAATCACCAACTTCTGAATCAATGGCATTCATACAAGTAGTTGACCTTGTAATTTTATACTGATTGAACTATCTTAGTACATGCAAAAGCTTCAGAGAGAGTCAACGAAAGGTGCTGAAGAATGCTTATCACTGTCTAAAGTAATAACCATTTTTCCGAAATTCAAAAGCAAAGGGGGCATGCCTGGTTCAGTGACTTGGACGGGCTGCTCCAAGAAGGAGCAAACGAGTCGGAGCGGCTGATGCCGGGTGTGTGGACTCAGTGAATCTAACATGCAACGAGTCATGGGACTCGATCAGTTTCATTAATCAAAAATTTATGCAAAGACAATGCCAATCAATTCCCAACAACATCCCAAAATAATGATAAGTGAAATCCAATTGGATAAAATCAATGAAAGAAAATTGCACCAGAAACAATCAGAAACTACTCTACTTACCTGTATTTATGCCAAACCTGCCTCCCCAAAAAGCCACTGAAAGAACAGCGATTGGGAGGGAAAGAAGGAGAAGGGGACTAAGACGGGCGACTGGTTTAGCTGGGGAGTGGCCGTTGAGTGGAATGGGTACTTTACCGTGCTGGCGGGTTTAAGATGTTAGCGAAGGCCGTAAAAAGGGTTTTGCGGGGGATTTTGCCAACTGGGCAGGCTGACTGGTGCGAGGGAAGAGAAGGGAAGCAAAGGGCCTAGTGGGAAAAAGAAAGTGATTTCATCAATCTTGTTTAAGATTAAATCTGGAAGCAAAGAATCAAAATATTGAAACTAGATATTGTTAGATTATGGAAGGGAAAAAAAAAAGGAAAGGAAAATATTATGTGTTAATGAGAATTTTACCCATAACTTAATATAGTCTAATTTTAAATTTTTTTAATTAACTTAAGTTTTCTTTCTCTCTATTTTTGCCCACTTTTGGCGAACTTCTCTATATTTTCTAAAAACAAGAAAACATCACAAAAGTGGTATCAGTTGGGGTTGGGTTCTAATTTAAGGGTAGTCGCAAATAGTATGTTGCGCCCCATTTTTTTGTAAAACGAGTGATGTGTGGATCGAAAATTGGTGATGTGGTGTTTAAAATAAAAGAAAAAGGCCATGTGACTTTGAAATACGACAGTTTGACCAAAAATAGTAATCTAAAAAGGTTTTGGTAAAAATATAGGAGTCACCACTTGGTATTGAATTAAGGTGTACCAAGTCACCCAAAAATGTGGATTTTAAAAATGTAAAACCTTTTTAGATTGACTCCAAAATCTACGACAAATCAGAGAAAATGGTTCGGAGGTCACAGTTGAAGAGAGACAAGGCAAAGACAATGTCTAAGGCACCCTCTCAACCTAACCTAAGCTAATTACATGATTTAGTCATGATTTTCCTAATTTCTAACCAAAAGATGTATCACATTTAGATGTAACTAACATGGATGCAATCCTAAATCTAATGATGAATCGAAAGGGACAAATATCTCTTAGAGGCTTAATCGGACTTGATCATATGAGTTGTGATAGCCAAGGATAAACCCTCCAAGAGGTCACAAATAGTGCCAATGATGTAAAAATGAGTGAAATGAATGTGTGCAATGTGAACAAAATGAGCGTGTGTGAAGTGAGAATGTGTAAAACGGTAATATGCAAAGTGATAATATGTAAAGTGAGAGTGCAAAAGTGATAGTGGGCAAAGTGATAGTGTGCAGAGTGAGAATATGTAAGATGAGAGTGTGTGAAGTGAAAATGTGCAAAAAATGATAGTGTGTAAAGCGGGGGTGTGCAAATAGAAATGTGCCTTCAAAATGCATGAGCCCTAAAGGAATGCAAACAAGACGGGTACGAGAGACTAATGTTCATGACTCAATTTTCCCTTTAGTAGAGGGAATACGAGCGTGCTAAGGCTAGAAAGCCAAACTCATCCATATCCCATACTCAAGGAGTTATTTCCTGCTCTAATCAGGCAAATGTACTAATCTACCCCTAATTTCCTAAATGAGATGTAAATCTAAATGTTATATACACATAGGGGCAAGGGATATTTTATTAGAGGAAATATTATATGCAAAATGATAAAGATCCTAATACTAGAAAAAATGCATGACATGCAATGTAATCATGCAAACATGATCTAGCGAGGGGGATTCCTAAGGGTCTAGCGTTTGGACTAACCCATATCTACAAATTCTCACTAGCGTTGGACTCGTGAGAAAATCGAAACAAAGAGTCACAACTAGCGTTGGACTAGTGTGGATTCGAGAAAGGGGGCCACAACTAGCGTTGGACTAGTGTGGTGACGACATGCACTTGTTACAATCAAATAAATCATGTAAGACCTAATAAAATCACATAATATCACATAAACACATAACACATAATCATAATATCTAGATGCAAGGCCCTAAGAAAGCGGTAACACATAGCACATAGGCATGCAAATCACACAAAACACATAAAGCAAATAGAGCCCTAACTATTACATTAAGGGGGGGCCTAACTACAATCTAAGAGGGGGGAAAGGAATAAAATAATTAAATCCCTAACTATTACATACTTTGGCATTTAAATGCCCCCAAATAATTAACTAAAGAAAATGAAATTAAAGAAAAGCAAAGTAAATAACTAAATCAAACCAAACAAAATAAAATAATAAAATAAAAAATAAAAAACGAATTAAAGCATGCAAAATTCATGAAAGCACGTAGGAGTACGTGGGAAAAATAAAATTAAAGGGATAGAGGTTACCTCCCTTGCAATGGTAATCAAATGAAGAAAAAATTAGCTTTAAAACAATAAAAATGTCAAGGCACCAATTAAATAGTAAAATATAAACAAAAACACAAAAATAAGTTAAACCAACAAATCACCAAATCCTTCCCAATTGCAACTTAAATGTAATCAAATAATGCATAGTTACAAAGAAGGTAAATTATCAATCAAATTTCTAAAATAAAAACTACTAAGGACCCAATAGCAAACATTAACCAATCATTCAAGTCCAATTAAAATATTTTGGGAACTTCAAAGGTCCATAAGTAATGAAAAGGTCAAGTAATGGTTCAAATTGCAATTACTCTAGGACCTAATTGCAAGAAATTAGAACATAATTGGGCCTTTGTAGCATTGCTTCAAAATCACAGGGACCAAAGTGTAATTTTCCTTTTGTTTTTCATGCATGCACACGAAGTCTTCTGCCATTTTCTGAGTTTCAACGTCTATGAACCGTACAAAGCAAAATCTCATACCAACGAGAACATGCACTTCATGTATTTTATTTCCATAATCAAATGCTAAAGATTCATCAATGGAAGCAAAGCATGTTCAGCAAACGAATTGTCCAAGACAAACATGACAGAGAAGCAAGACATGCAAGCAATCAATGAAGGAATGGAGAAACACTTCTGCAACAACAAACCAGCCCACTCTGGCTGTGTGTATTCTAGGCGTGACTAATACTCATCAAAAGAAAACCCAACATCTGACTAATTTATCAAAGAAAGACATGAAACAAAGGGAACCATGAAATGGAAGAGATAAACAAGAGAAAACAGCACATAAGCACTAACGAATAGATTGATGTCTATCTATATTCAGATTCTTAGGCCAATCTGGCAAACTGGAGAAAACATATTCTTCTAGTTCAAAACATTACTCAGTGAATCAGCAAACAGGGCAAACATTTTTTGCAGCCTTTAATTGTCTTCAAGAAAAGTAGTTCCACGGCAAACTATATCAGCAATTTTTGCACACCACATACATACTAAACCATCATCTGATACAAAAAAACAGCAAGAACCGACTCCAAAATTCCTTGTTTCTTTTCCTCTCTCCAACTAACAAACACAAGTTAGCCAGAATCCCTCTCACGCGTATACAGAAAGATGCACGAAATCTCATCTTTTTGATTCAAGACTTTGTTTAGGCATTTTATCAAACACTAAATGGGCATGGAAATTTCAGCAATTCCCTACTCAAATGAGGTCTCGGTTGGCCCCAAAACTGACAGCAAAACCAGAAATTTCAACCCAATTAACAAATAAAGCAGTAATCTTTCAGAAAACGTAGGCAAATCCACCAAGAAATTGTGATAAAAAAAACAACAGAGCTTCAAGCGGCCATGCTTGAAAAACTGAAATTTGAAGGAAGAAGATAGCTTACAAAGCTATACAGGTGATGATTGACGGCGATGATGGTCGTTGATTCCCGCCGACTCCAGCCTTTTCCAGCCGCTCCTTCGTTCTTTTCCTTAGCCTTTCTCTCCTGTTTTTGTTTTGCTGTTCCAGGTTTATTGCCGAAGCCTTTTTCCTCTGTTTTTCTTTTTTCGTCCCAGATTTTCCTTCTTCTTTTCTAGCTCTCACTCTCTCTCCCAAGCTCCCCCCAGTTGTTGTTTTTTTCGTTCTTCCTTTTTTCCTAGCCGCTGTTTCTCCTTTTCTTTTTCCTCCCAGCCGGCCATCCAATCCCTCTTTTGATTTTTCTTTTGATTTTTTTTTCTAGGAAAATCGTCCAAAACCTCCATCATATTTTGTAAAATGATTTTTTTCGTCCCTCACTTTTAAAAGTATAATTTTATATCCCTTACATATTCACATCGATCAAATTTAGTCCCTAACTAGATTTCCGATCATTTTTTGACCGAAATCCATCACGTGCAAAACACGTGATCATTTTTGAAGGGTAAATTAGTCAAATTATATTTTACATAATCTGATCTATAGTCCTTCACATTTTATAAAACAAATTTTTTCGTCCCTCACATTTTATAAAATAATTTTTTCATCCCTCACATTTCACAAAATGAATTTCTCCATCCCGCACATTTCAAAAAATGAATATTTCCATCCCTCACTAATTATGTATGTGAGGGAAACCCTAAAAAAAAACTGTGTGTAAATACATTTTGTTTAAACACATGTATTTGTCTATTTGATTTTGCTTAATAATACGAATAGCATAAATATATATATGTGTTTATTTGATTTCACTTAACAATACGAATACCATATATTATACGTGATCATTTGATTTCATCTGTTATTAGCTAGTAAATAATCTTGCATCCATTGTCAAGTTGACCAATAAAGCTATTTTCGGTCAAAATACAATAAGAATATGCAAATTAAGGTTCTATTGGTAAATATTAGTCATAATCATACAAAAAGAGAAGATAGCCCACAAGTTGGGCCTAATTACATACATGTGTTTATACTATTATTATTAAGCAAAATCAAATAGACATATACATGTGTTTAAAAAAATGTATTCACACACATAATTAGTGAGAAAAGAAAATTTCATTTTTTGAAATGTGAGGGATGGAGAAATTCATTTTGTGAAATGTGAGGGACGAAAAAATTTATTTTATAAGATGTGGAGGACTATAGATTAGATTATGTAAAATATAATTTGACAAATTTACCCTTCAAAAATGATCACGTGCCTTGCACATGATGGATTCCGACCAAAAAATTATCGAAAACCTAGTTAGGAACTAAATTTGTCCGATGTAAATATGTAAGGGATATAAAATTACACTTTTAAAAGTGAGAGACGAAAAAAGTTATTTTACAAAATGTGAGGGATGTTTTGGACGATTTTTCCATTTTTTTTCCTCGAAGTGTCTCTAACACCTAACCCCTTAGGTGCTTTGTTGCCCAACACACAAAAGGACACTTGTCCCCATTGCATGCCCCCCACTTGTC